TGTCTGACCCACTGTGATCTCCAGCATTTGTTGTGTTCAGTACAAGGTCCACATAGTCCGTTTGATGGCTCTGGGCTCAAGGAACTGACTGTCACTATTGGAATCCTGGGCCAGACCCATCATGATGCCAAAGAAAAAGCTGAGTAGAGTCACCAACTGACTGAAGGCACCACAAAGAGACACAGACCAACACCAACGAAAACAGCCAGTGAAACAGCTGAAAGGAGTCGCAGGCTAGAGGAGCCAAAAGGTAAATCATTGTGAGGAGTGGCTGAGGACTCTGGGTCTGTGTTTGATGGAGTTTAGAAGGATGAGGAAGGGCCTGATTGAAACTTACACACCCGGATAGAGTGGGGATGTGGAGAAGATGTTTCCACAAGTAGGAGAGACCAGGACCTGAGGGCACAGCCTCAAGGTGAAGGTATTTCTTCAGCCAGAAGGTGGTGAACACGTTGCCATAGAGGGCTGTAGAGGCCAAATCTTTGAGTGTATTTAAGACAGAGACGGATAGGCTCTTGATGGGTAAGGGGATCAAGGTTATGGGGAGAAGGCAGGAGGATGGCGTTGAGAAACATATCAGCTATAATTGAATGGCAGAGTAGACTCGTTGGGCCAAATAGCCTATTTCTACTTCTATATTTTATGGTGCTATGATTTAAAAGCCATCTTCAAGCTTCTGCTCCTTAATTTGTTGCCCAACTGTTCCCACTGCCTATACTGTTGTCCTCCCACTGCTAGTTCCTCTCCAGCCCAGAGCAGATGTCCTGTTCATGGATAGCACATTTCACATCAAGGACATCCTACAACTGAAGAAAGCGGAAGGTAGAAAGGGAATGGATGATCACCAGACAGAAGGGGTCCAGGTAGCTAGTAAGGGAATCCAAGCGCATCTTCCTTGCCTACTGTTTCTTTCAGCCTTGGAAAACTGTTAGTTCACCTGGAAGAAATGGAGGGCCTGCATGCAGACTTTGGGGAGTTAGCCAAGAGCATGACTTCAAAAAGTTAGTAATCTGTGGATAACTCCCAATGCCATGCAGCAGCAAGTACAGGAACAGAAGGATAGATCGGACGAATGCATGGCTGGTGGAGATGATGCAGCAGGAAGAGCGTTAGAATTCTGAGGCATTTGGACGGTTTCTGGGGGAGGTGGGTCCTGTACAAGTTAACACAGTGTGGAGCTGGAGGAACACAGTCCTGGCCAGTCCTGATGAAGGGTCCCAACCGGAAACGTCAGCTTTCCTGCTCCTCTGAGTTCCTCCAGTTCCACATTGTGTTATCCCTGGCTCCAGCATTGGCAGTTCTTGCCAACTCTGTGGGTCCTGTCCATGTTTGATGGGGTACATCTGAAAAAGAGCAGAACCAACAACCCCATGGGGAGGTTTGCCAATGCTGTTGGGTTGGATTTAAAACAGAGGCAAACACGTTGCTGGGTATGGACTGTAGGCACCCCAAGCAGAAACAGAGAGATAAAGATTCAAATGTTTGATCAGAGAAGTATGGTTTAAGAATAACAAGGCAGCAATTGTAAGGGATTTTAACTAACCTAATACTAACCACAGTGGCTCAGTGGTTAGCACTGCTGCCTCACAGCGCCAGGGACCTGGGTTTAATTTCACCCTCAGGCGACTGTGTGGAGTTTGCACATTCTCCCCGTGTCTATGTGCGTTTCCTCCGGGTGCCCCGGTTTCCTCCCACAGTCCAAAGATGTGCAGGCTAGGTGGATTGGCCATGCTAAATTGCCTGTAGTATTCAGGGATGTGTAGATTAGGTGGGTTATATGGGGATGGGTCTGGGCGTGATGCTTCAACTGTCGGTGTGGACTCGTTAGGCCGAAGGGCCTACTTCCACGTTTTAAGGATTCTATGATTTAACCAGGATAGTTTTTATTTAAAGGTAGGGAAGGAGCAAAATTCTTGAACTGATCTGGGAGTCCTTTTACAGCCAGTACATAGAAACCCCAACAAGAGAGGGTGCAGTCCTAACAGGTGGAAGGCATATCCATGAGGGAACATTTTGGAGATAGTGACCGTAACTCAGTAAGGCATCACTGGCAAGGCCAGCATTTGTTGCCCATCCCTCACTGCCTTTGAATTGAATGACTCGGTCTCATTTCTGAGGGCAATGGTGAGTTGACCACATTCCTGTGGATCTGGAGTCACATGTAGGCCACAGCAGGTTGGGGATTTCCCTCCCTAATGGACATTTGTGAACCAGGTGGGTCCTTACAACAAGAATGAATGATAACTTCAGGGTTCTCCTCCTGAGACTAGCTTTCAATCCCGGATTCTGTTAATTGTTTTTTAGTGAATTGAATCTAAATTCCACCAGCTGCAGTGGTGGTTCTCGAACCTGTGACAACAGGACACTAGGCTGCACACTTCTCTGGATTATGAATCCGGTGACATTGCCAATAGGCCAGCATTCCTCAAAATGTCTACTACCAGCCTTGCAGGTTCTCTAAATCAGTTAAACATTTCAAGGAGATGACCATCAAACCTTCCAAGCTCAAGGGATCAAAAGCCATGAAAGCTGATTTTATAATTTAACCTCAAAAGTCCCCGCAACATTCCGCTTTGCTCATTTTAAATACATGTCCATGGCATGTTGCAGATTACCTATCTTTTGTTTTTAAACACTTTTTCATAGAATGTGGGTGTGGCTGGTCGGGACAGCATTCATTGCCCATCCCTAATTTGCCCAGAGGGCAGTTAAGAGTCAACTTGCATCGCTGTGGGTCTGGAGTCACATGTAGGCCAGACCGGGTAAGGGTGGCTGATTTCCTTCCCTGAAGGATGTTAGTGAACCGGGTGGGCATTTAAAACAATTAACAGCAGGTCTGAGACCGCTAATAATTCAAGTTTTACCACCAGTCATGGTGGGATTCGAACCTACGTCACCAGAGCTCATTATCCAGTGACACAAGTACTGGGCCATCTCATTGCAACCTGATTGACTCTCAGCCTCCCCAGTCTCTTCTCATGATGGAAATATCTCATTCCTGGCCCCCCCATTCCGTTACACCTTACCTCAGGCCTCTCCAAGGTCTTGACATCTTTTCTAAGGTGCCGTGCCCAGTTCTGAGTAGAATTCTTCAGTTGACTTCTCACCAGTGATTAACAATATAATGCCTCCAGCTCCTTCGTACTCTCATCAAAGCTTTCTCAGCAGCAGCGGGCAATTCATTTAACCCACCACCTTCTTTTAACGCACTCTATCTAAACGTTTATTTGCTTTACATTTCTGATCTTTCATGCAGCTGCAGCAGAAATAACATGTTAAACTTCAGGAGTGCTCAAGTGCTCATGTTTCACTTGGTTCACATTCCCCGAAATCTATCAGTCAGAGGCTTGAATAGATCGCGCTGCCATTCTCTGAACACTTTCCTGAATTTCTATACTTGGCAGTTGTTACCAGAGTTTTGTGGTGAGTGAAGATCCCAGCTGTAAAGACTGTATTTTTATATGTTTTTATTATGAACTGAAATGGGAAGAGGACTGGTCTAAGAACTAAAGTTTCATAGAGTCATTGAGTCAATGAGTCATACGGCATTGAAACAGGCCCTTCGACCCATCATGTCTATTCTGCCAACCAAACACCCTCTAGACTAAGATAATACAGTGTGGAGCTGGAGGAACACAGCAGGCCAGGAAGCATCAGAGGAGCAGGATAGTTTAATCCCATTTACCATCACTTTGTCCATAGCCTACTATGCCCTGGCATTTTAAATTCTCATCCAGATGTTTCTGAAATGTTGTGAGAGTACCTGCCTCCACCACTCTCTCAGGCAGCACCTTCCATATTTCCACCACTCTCTGGGTGAGATTTTGTTTTCCTCAGATCTCCTCAAAACCATTTACTCCTCACCTTAAACTTACATCCTCTGGTCTTTGACCATGGGGAAGAGATTCTCACAATTTATGCTATGGATCTCACTCATAATTTTGTATACCTCCATCAGAACCCCCTCAGCCTCCTCTGCTCCAAGGAAAACAAACCCAGCCTGTCCAGTCTCTCCTCATAATTTAGACTTTTTTATCCCAGGCAATCTCCTCTCCAGTTCAGTCACATCCTTCCAATAGTGTGGTGACCAGAACCGCACACAGAATTTCATCTGTGGCCTGACCAATGTTTATGAAGTTACAATGAGACTTATGAGCTCCTATATTCTTTGCTTCAACTAATGAAGGCAAGCATCTCTTCTTCACCACCCTGTCTACCTGTGCTGATACCTTCGGGGATTGATGGATTTGAGTCCCCAGGTCCCTTCGTTCCTCAGAACTCCCTAGGGACCTACCATTCACTGTCCTTTCCCTATTAGACCTCCCAAAACCTCACAATTACCAGGATTACATTTCGTCTGCCATTGCTCTGCCCAATTCGCCAGCTGATCAATATCAGACTGTAGTCTGAGACCATCCTCCTCACTATCAGCGATACACCCATTTTTCACATCATCTGAAAATGTACTAATTATCTAGCAGGGGGAGAGACCGTGATTATGAAGGTGGTGGTCCCAGGACGAGTCTATCTCATTACACTTTGGGTGTGCTAGACACCTACGATATCCCCAAATGCGGGATACTCCACTGCACAATTGGCAGTGGAAGACTATGTTCGCGTTCTGCCCTGATAAAGGGGCCCCCTTGTGGTGCAATGGTAGTGTCCCCACCCCTGGACTGGGAGGCCCAGGCTCAAGCCGCACCCGTGCCAGCAGTATGTAACAACATCTCTGAACGGGTTGTTCAGAAAAATAGGTTGTACCTTTTACGTTCACATCCAAGTTGTGATTGTTGAAGGGTTCCTGCTCTTTTTAAAAGCAAGTAAACTGATACTCATTATAAGTGCTAGTTACACAGCTGCTTGTTTGAGTAGCAAGTGGAGATTTGGCCAGCATCAAGTTGCTGGTAGGTCCTTGGACTAGTGACCAGTTATCAATGGCAAACGTGATTGGTTCAAACGTAGCTGAATGTTTGGGACAGAAGCCAACGGAAAGAAAGGACCTGTGTTGTTGCTATGCAGAAAAAAAAGACATCTCAATCCGGAAGATAATCAATTGTTGTTTCTTCCCTCTCATCAGTTGCTGTAAGCTGTGAATTTTATTTAGTAAGTCAGAAAACTTTTATAACTATGAGCCAGTCACCCTGTGACTCCTACAAACACATGTGGATCAGCTAAAGGATCATCTCAACAAACCCTGTGCACATGGATCACTGATCAGCGTTCTAGTCTTTCCCTCTGCCCATTAAACCCTGGCATTGTTTGTATGTTTGTTAATAACAGGGTTGGAGTTGAGTAGGGTTATATATGTTGACGGTTCACATTCTTATTAGGTATTTTCTGTGTAGCCTAGGTCCAAAAGACAGATAGATTGGGGAACTCTGCATACTTTTTCAAATGTTTAGCTTTCTGGCATAATGAGATTTCCAGTGGGATACAGGTAAGAGCTGGCAGTTCCAAATGGACATGTTTGTCTGGGTTCCAACACAAGCAATAACCCTAATGCCTATCCATCCACAAATTCATTCCAACCTCTTCAATCACACCACCAAAAACAAAAGACCGAAGATGAGGAAGGAAAACATAGATCATTTTTACCTTTCGTTACCACTGTGGTGACAGTTCTTGCAGACAGTGCGGACATGATATCCCAACCAAAGGACTAATCCATGATTTAGTTTGACTTTACTTTGCCTAATCTTCATTCTTTCAGGTTAATCCCAATGGATTGGAAAAGTTTAACAAAGGGAATCACCATAGGAATGAAGAAACAAACAGGAGTAGAGTATTCAACCCTTCAATTAGATCAAGGCTGACCTGTATCCTCAAAATCACAAACACAGTCTGTCTGCTGATGATCACTTTTGTGTTTGTGGGATCCTGCTGTGCACAGTTGCTTGTTGTGCCTCTGACAGTGCAAGAATGTCATAGACACATGGAGGTTTACAGCGTGGAAACAGGCCCTTCGGCCCAACTTGTCCAAGGGGCACAGTTTTCACAATTAGACTGGTCCCATTTCATTGTGTTTGGTTCATATCCCTCCAAACTCACCCCATCTCAAATATTTCTTAAATGACCAAAATTGTACTCACTTCTACCATTACCTCTGGCAGCCTGTTCCAGATATCCACCACCCTCTGTGTGAAAAAATTGCCCCCCTGGACCCTTTTGTGTCTCTCTCCTCTCACCTTAAACCTATGCCCTCTAGTTTTAGACTCCCCACCCTTTTGGCTGTCTACCTTATCTATGGCTCTCGTGATTTTATAGACCTCTACAAGGTCCTCCACAGTCTCCTACACTCCAGGGGAAAAATGTCCCAGAATACACAGGAACAAAAACAGAAGGTGCTAGAAAAGCTCAGCAGGTCTGGCAGCATCTGTGAAGAAAAAACTCAGAGTTAACGTCTTGGATCTGGTGTCCCTTCCTCCCTTCCAGCATATACAGCCTCTCTTTATAATTCAAACCTGCTAGTTCGGGTAGCCACCTAGTGAAACGTTACCATCCTGGTAAAATGCAGACACTGCAAAAATATAATGTGGTTCGGAACGTCATGAGGCTATCGAAGGCGCGAGGCCTCATTCTGCACTGTAGGGATTCTATGTGTAAGTGATGTATTCTCTGGGTATATTTATAAATGAGGGAGATAGAGATATATAGATGGAGAGAGACACACAGAATGTTTATGGGAATGTGTCAGTAAAAGCTGGCAGCGAATGGGTTAACAGGCTGCTCCAGTCCACTTTCTGGCAGACACACCAGCCCTGTGAAGATAGTCTGCTGCTGAGCCCATCCCCCAGCCTGCCGTGCTGTGCTTTGAGCACAGACTTACATCATGCGTGAGGAATCTCTGAACCTGCTCACATTAAGCCAGCACTGCCCAATGGCTTGTTGTAAAACTGGAAGCAACGAAATGGCACGGAATGCTCCACTGAAGCCCATCCCTCTTCATATCCCCCACCTCACTGGTCCCCTCCCCAGTCTCTACTCACCCACTACTCTTAGATTGCTTCCAAGAAGAATCTATTGTTAATACATTGCATAGAGCGCGGATGTACAAAGGTGACCCGTGCACAAGGAGAGAACTGTTTACCCAGTGAATTGGCTTCTTTCAGACTCGCCTGCAGACTTCTCTGTTCACACACACACACACACACTCACAGACAGACACACAGACACACAGACACACACACACACACACACACA